TATAAAAATAGAGATCAGGCATCCCAGGAGGTCCCTATGGCAATCAGCCCACCATCCTAGAATGTCTTCAATGAGTAGTATTGCAAGGGAGAGAGTTTCTATCTCTGTGGAGCACCAGAGGGTACACAATGTCTTCTCATCAGACCCTTGGAATCGCCCTCTCAATTTTTTACTCTGATGCTTTGGAGTATTAGGAGGAGATGAAATAAGGGGGTTGTGCTCTTTCTTTATCCCCTTGACACCTTTACATTGGGAGAGCCCAGAACACTAGGAGGGCTGGAATATCCCCTGCCCATATATTCACTTTCACAACTTGACTTCTCCTGATATACCTAGGGCTATAAAAGATTTCGTTGCAGGGAGAAAATCAAACATTTAACTCCATGAAAATCCTGACTGCACAAATGAGAGGTGTTTACAACCTCAATAGGCTCTAGATTAGCAGTCCCCAACCTTTTTGCCACCACGGACCAGTGCTCCTATGAGATCTAATGCCCGATGATCTGAGTTGGAGCTGAGGCTGTGATGCTAGTGCTGGGGAGTGGCTGCAAATACAGATGAAGCTTTGCTCGCTTGCCCACAACTCACTTCCTGCTGTGCAGTCTGGTTCCTAATGGGCCACAGATCAGTACCAGTCCGCAGTGTGGGGTTTGGGAGCCCTGCTCTAGGTATCTTAGGGCCCCTCAACTCCTTACCTCTTTGGTGTTCCCCTATCCAAGGTATTTGATTCTGGTTATTCAGTCCTCAGCTCTTGACACCTGTGCTATACAGATCCCCTTCCCAGGAGACTCCCTTCCCGCTTTCCTCCCCCAAACCAAATGTATGTTCCCACCTTTGGCTCCTGTTCCCCATACTCAGCCATTCTCATCCATTTTCATGAATTATGCTGGCTCCCCATATCCTTTTCTCCATTCACCCACCCTGTGTTCTCTGGCTTCCTTGAGGCCTGGAATTGCTTCCAGTTATCAGAGACATCAAGATAAATTGACTGTGCTGGGAGAAACATAGAGGAAGCCAGGGCCCAGCAACTAAGCAACGTGTGGAGTCAGAAAAAGCCTAAGCACTACAGCATCTGTAATGAACTTGATTTATTGTTAGAGTTGGAGGCGGCTCTGTTACAGCAGCTGGGAACTATAATGGGGAAGTGTGGGGAGGAGCAGAGCACAGCAGCATGGGGAGGGTGGGAGCTAGTAAGAACACAGGCAGGTTCATTTTCCTTTCCACACAGTCATTCGGCAGAGAAGCAGAGCCCTGATGAGCATCTGGATTTCTCAGTCCAGCAGTAGTCTGGCAGGGCTACTCGTTGGCTTGCTAGGGGTGAGGTCCTTTCCTGTGTTGGAATTTTCAGCCTGTTTTCATCTCACTCAATAGGAGTTAAGTTTAAGCTCAGTTTCCTCTCCCTCTTTCCTTCCTCCCTCTCATTTTTCGCAAGTCCTCTGGCATGGCTTCCACCTCCCCAAATCTCTATTAAAGAGTTTGGGGCTGGAAAGGCAGCCAGCATTCTCATTTCAGCTGCAGGATGGCATAGTGGAATGTTGGGGGAGTCACACATTGCTGGGGTGTCAAATGTTGGGATGTCAGGCAGTGGCTTATTTTTAACCCATTACACACCAGGCCACAGTAGATGACCACATGCAGAGAAGCCAAGCAGGAGATGAGAAGGGATCAGGATAATTGGAATGGGTGGGTGAAAACTTCAAAAGGTCAGGGAGCTTGGAAAATTCTGGGATTGGGGCTGGGCTCTTCTTGCCCCTTTGTGCTGCCCAGTAGGCCTGATCTGGACACAGCTCTGGGATGTGAATGGTATGAAGCAGGGGCTGAGAGGATAAGCTCCTTTCTTCTCTCATCAGTCTGTTGGTCAAGAGCTTCAAGTTTTAGATTGAGACATTCAAATACGGAGGGAAGCAGTGGGACAGTGTAGCAGCGGTGTACCCCCAGACCACTGCTGGAACCCAGAACCTGATGAGTAAGGGGATGGAAGACGGAGAAAGGGGTGCAGCTCTGGGCACCTCACTGACAGCATCCTGCCCCCAGGTCACATAAGTTACTATTGGAAATCCTTCCTAGGGATGCTAAATAAATAGATTGAGATAAAGAAGCCCCTGGGATTGGGGATATGATCTCCCTCCATGAGGGAGGAGATTGCTCTCTGAGACCCATCCTCACTCCCTACCCAATACCAGCATTTGGCAGTGCTAGGAGATGTGTCACTCCAGGGTTCTCAGGCATCAGATGACCTCCTATCCTAATTTTGTACCCTCCCCCTATCCTATTCCTATTACCTTTGGTTTTGAGACTCATCTCAGGTATGGATGAGGGAAAGGGACAACCCCTCCCATTCAGTCTAGCCCAAGTATCCACAAGACATCCTGTCTCCCCCGCCCCCTCCTCCCCCAGCTCCCATGTTCCCCAACACCAAAGGACTCAGCAGTAGCCATTCTCTAAGGGAGGTGGGGGAGCAGATCCTTGGGGAAGGAAAAGTGGTTCTTTCAGAACTCAATCTTGCAGGCTGGGAAGGACTCATCCTGCATGACCACGGTGCTGCTGCTAGCCAGGACCAGGACGTTCAGTTGTTGCTGCTGCTCATGAGTCTGCTGATACCACTCACGAGTCACTTCTGTGTCATGAGTAGGGATCAGAGTCACCTAGGCGGGAGATAAGACATGCCTGATGTGAGAATGTGAAAGGAAGGTAAGTGAGGAGGATAGGGCACCTGATGGTCCAGGAAGTAGTCCCACTGCCCATAGAAAGGGCTCAGTCCTTTTATAAATAAAGACCGTGTTCCACTATTGCCTCTGAATAAGCTTTGACCAGACTACCTCCTTGGCGTCCATTGCCACTCACCTGAAGATTCTCCCCCCATTGGGCCTTGCCCTCCAGCAGGGCATCCAGCACAGCCCGGCTCGGCTCGCCATTGGCAGGGTCATTCCCACTGACCACATAGTAGGATGCACGCACTCTTCGGAAGAAGTCAAGGTCAGCAGTCTTGCCACTGCAATGATTCGGGATATAGGCGAGATCCACATATACAGGGGGAGCAGAGCCGCCCTTGGAACCCAAGGCTGCTGTAGAGACAAGCCGGCACTCATTGTAGAGGGAAAGTAGACTGCTTTTGGCAACCTTAAAAATCCTGGAGCATTTGACCAGCCACACCCAGCCCCAATCCACAGTCTCTCCTATTTTTCAAGTCATACTCACTCAGTCCTGCCTTGAGTCCATTGACCAGGCCTTTGGACATGGGGCTGTGTCCGTCCTTTTCCTCTGCTGGGATGACCTGGCTTGGAGTGCTGCGTGGCCGGGGTGGGACCCGGGATGCTCGGTCTACAGGACCTTTACCAGGGGTAGGTGAGCGTTTTCCCCGAAGATCTGGACGCCGGGCAGGAGATGCTGGCTTGGCCTTGCCTGGGGCCCTGCGCCCTACTCTCCCCTGTGCCTTCTCCTTTTCCCGTAGCCTCTCTACCCTTCCAGACTCTGAGCTTAGCCCCTCAGGGTCAGCCATGCACACATCAGGGCGGGGAGGGGATGGCCGGGGGTCTGGCTGGGGGATAGGGGGAGGGTCATGGCCAGGCCTGGGATGGTGAGTTCCACTGACCCCCCCAGCTTTGTCCACAGGCAGGAAGTCCCCATCTTCATCTGAATCGAGGGCTGCCTCGGCTGTAATGGATGGGCACTCCTCAGTTTCTGGCGGAACGTCAGAATCTGACTGTGTGGAGCCTGAGTCACTGGCTGACGTTGGGGGTGTCTCATCTGCCACAGGGCATGGGCCCCCTGTGGCCCCAGGGCCCCCTACCCGGCGCCGTCCCCCTCTCCCTACCAGCCGAGCTTCCTCAATTGAGAGGTCACTGTCATTCATGGATTGGGGCAGAGGTGGGTTCAGGAAGGATGGCGAGAGCTCCCCACAGTGGGGCCGGGGCTCGGAGGCACATCCCTGGGGCCCAGCCTCCATCTCAGGGGAGACACTACTAGATTGGCCCTCAGAGGTCCCTCCAGGGCACAGTGGCTGCTCAGGGGAGAGCAGCGTGTCAGGCCGGCAGCTCCTCTCAGCTCCCTCAGGCCAGGCCCCACGTTCCCAGGCAGGGCAGGCCTTAGCCTCTTCTTTCTCAGCCTTGGCTGGCGCAAGGCCCGGGGGGTTGGGGCTGGTTTCAGTTGGACCATTGGTGGCATAATCCCCAGAGGGACCCTGGAAAGGGCTTGGCTTCTTGGTTGCTGCCACTGAGCACTCCAGGTGGCAGGGTAGGGTGCCATCATCCACATCTCCAGGCAGGCTGGGAGCCGGACCTGGGGCCAAGTCCAGTGAAGCTGGAGGTGCTGGGCTCAGAGGATTGAGGTCCCAGAGGCTGTGGGTAGCTGCTTCCATTCCTGGGGCCAGCTCTACAGATCCCTGTTCTGCAGCCTCCAGGCTAGGAGGGAAACGCTCAGCCACGCTTGAAATCACAGGTGTGGTGGCCTCAGAAGAGGAGCCTTCAGACAGGGCTGGTGAGGAAGGTCGTGGCAGATTGGAGAGGAGAGGGGCCCCAGGAGAGCTGGGTGATGGGAGCTGGGGCAGTGAGGAGTCCAAGCTGGGGGCCTTGGTCACTTCTAAGTACTCATCATGCCGGGCTCTGGTGGGAGGCCCTGGAGCCAGAGCCAGAGCTCGGTCCCCGGAGAAGGCAAGGGAGCCACAGGGTGCTGAGCGAGGTTCAGCTGGAGAGGGCAGCTGTGGAGGAGCTGGCTGCAATGAGGAGAAACCAAAGGCTGAAGCTGGGAAGTCCAGGGTGGGTCGGGCAGAACCCAGGTGTGAGTCCAAGGAAGGGCTGGTATGTGCCTCACTTTCAGGCCACTGTTTGGGGGGCCCTGCAGGGATGGAGTGAGGGGGACTTGGGGACTGGACCTCTTTCTCTGGCTGCTCCCGAGCCCCCTTCTCTAGCTCTGAGTCGCTAGTGCTGTCATCCCAGTGATCCCGACCTGATTCCTTGGGGGATGGGCTTCTCCTCTCTGGGCTACAGCTCAGGATATTACCATTAAGAGGGGGGCTTGGGCCTTTGCTCAGTGGGATGGGAGCACGGGGAGGTACTGCAGGAGGGATGAGACTGGGTTCCACACTTGGCCCTGGCTCAGGCTCCTGCCTGGGGGGTACGGTGGGTCCTGCCAGGGCTGCATAGCTGAAGGACGGGGTGTCAAACTGGAGGCTCTTGGGTGAGACAGGAGATGAAAGTTCCTTCTCTGCAGATGTGTTTCGGCCAGCTGCCTCCTCCTTGGTTGAGATGTGTGGGGGCCAATCCCCTGCTGCTCCAAGAAGAGGTTCCCTAGTGGGACATGCAGGGCCAAGACCAGTAAGCATCATCTGTTCATAGATGTCCGCATACTGAAAGCTTCTCTCATCAGGATAGGGTGTGGGCTCTCTCTGCTCTGACTCGGTCTGCTCAGGCTCCTGGGTGGCATGGCTCTCACTGGCCTCTGGAAACTTGGAGCTGCGGAGGCTGCTGTCAGGAGCCCCAGCCTGACCTCCTTCTTCCTTTTTTCCTTCAGCCTTGCAGTAGTCCTTCCCAAGGGGGGAGTATGGCCCACCTTCTAACTCAGCTGCCCCCTCCTGCACTGCAGCCACCACACTGTCATATTCAGCTGTGCCCCAGAAGGGCGCAGGAGTGTATGGCTCAGGGGCAGGAGCTGGGGGAGCTGGAGCTGGGGAGAGGGGTGCAGGGGGCAGGGGTCTCTTGATTATTTGCCTACACAGCCCAAATTCACTCTATAATTGCTCAAACCATTTCTATTTTTGCATTTAATAGGTTTTGCAATGTTCTTCTTTGAGCAAGAAAAGAGGGAGCCTTTTACATTTGTCTGAGTGCAGATTTCAAAACCATCTGCATCCACTATAACTAGGAGGATTGTAAACAAGAGCACAGCTTTCAGGCAAGGCTTAAAAATACACTTCTCATTCTGCCAGATTTGAAAGCAGAGAAGCTATGGCATTGTTTTGGCTGGGTTTGTTTTTGGGGGTGGGGGGTGGGGGGGGGGGGGGGGGGGGGGGGGGGGGGGGTGTTCTGTCCTTGGGCACCCATGGTGGGATGTCAGCCAGCCATGAGGGGGTGGTAGGTTCATTCCTCATGGGTGGCATGGTCTTAGGCTCCAGGATAGGGCTCTCTTGTCCTGGAAGCGGAGGAGCCCTCTGTCCAGCCATCTCAGGTGGGGAGGCTGGAGGAGAGATGATCTCAAAAGGGGAGCGGGTCAGCTTGTCTTCTTCCTCTGGTGGCAGCCCAACTGGTGACTCAGCAAGCCAGCGCTCCACCTCCAGCCCCTTTTGTGATGAAGGCTCCTGGAAACCCTTGAAGTCTGAGGCCCAGGGGCTCTGGGGCGAGTGTTCCAAGGGGGGTACTTCTTGCCCTTCATCTGGCCCCTCATCGAGGAAAGTGTTCTCCCGCTCTTCTGTGTACCGCGGCCGGGCCCCCTGGCCATCGAGCTCATGAGGGAACCAGACCTTCCGCTCACAGCTCAGTTCCCTCCAGTATGTGTCCTGTTCCAAGGCCACATCCTCTCTGCCCCTCCAGTACCTGTCCTCTTGCTCAGGAGATGTATCCTCCCATGTCCGGGCAGGCTCTTTCCGTTCTCCAACTGGCTCCCCTCTGGTCGGAGATGTTTCTCGCCACTCCTGCTCCTTCCAGTGTTTCTCTTCCTGCTCCTGGGCCTTGTCCTTCTGCTCCGGGCTCTCTTCCAGTTCCAGAGCTTTGGTCTTTTCCAGCAGAGCTTCTTCCTTCTGTTCCACAGCCCCAACTTTTTCTGAAGATTTTTCCTCTAGGATCTTCTCCTTTGGCTTCACGGTTTTCTCCTCCTGCTCCTGAATTTTGTCCTTCTCTTCCAGATCCTTATCTCTCTGTTCAAGAGCCTTATTGTTTTGTTCCAGGGCTTCATCCTTCTGTCCTAAGGCCCAGTATTTTTGTTCTAAGGCCTGATCTTCCTTTTCCAAAACCTTGTCCTTCTGTTCAGGGGCTTCATCAGTGTGTTCTAAGGCCTTGCCCTTCAGTTCAGAGACTTTGTCCTCTGGAGTCATGTCTTTATGTTCAAAGTCTCTGGCTTTTTGTTCTAAGGTTTCATCTTTCTCTTCTACGACTTTGTCCTCCTGTTCCAGGGTCTTGTCTTTTGGTTCCAGAGCCTTGTCCTTCTTTTCCAGAGCTGTGTCCCTCTGTTCTAAGACTCTGCTTTTTAGTTCTAAAGGCTTATCCTGCTGTGTCACAGCCTTCTTTTCTCCCAGAGCCTCACCTTTCTGATCGATGGCTGTATCCTTCTGCTCTATGACAATATCCTTCTGCTCCAGAGTTTTGTCCTTCTGCTGTAGGACTTCATCCTTTGACTCAGGTCCCTTGTCCATCTGCTCTGGGGTTCTGTCTTTCAATTCTGGAACTTTACCTTCCCACTTGATGGCAATGTCCTCCATGACAGGGCTTGGCAAAGACTCAGGACTCTTAGTGAAGGAGCTATCAGGTGTCAGAATGTGTTCACCAGGGCTTGTGGTCACTCCAGGTGAGTGCTTCCCATCTCCCAACAGTGGAGAGTGAGAGAAAGGGCTGGCAGATAATTTTCCATTGGGGCTCTCATCTGTGATATCTGCCTGTGCAGAGTATCCAGTGTTCACATCTGTGGGAGGAGACACTGTGGCTGCACAGGGTTCTGGAATAGACTCGGGAGCTAGGTGCTGAGAAGTATCCTCAGCCTGCATCAGAGGCCCCTTTTCTTCCTTTCCGAGGCTTAGTTCGCCAAACTGGAGGGTACCAAGGCTTTCTGGAGACAGCTGTTTAGAAGAGATATCCAGAGAAGTCTCTTTGCTGGGACTCTCTTCTGAGAGAGAAAGTGACCGAGTATCTTCTGGAGATACCTGTGGCCAAAGGTCTTTGTGTAGGTGCTGCTCTGTCAGGCCAGAGGGAGACCTGAGGATGGTTTCCTGGTTGGCAACATCTGGTGAGACCACACTGAGGACCGAGAGGGACTCTGCATCATCAGGGGAGAGGCTTTGGTCAGGAAATTGGAGCACATCATCTTTCTGAGTTTCACCAGGTTCTTGGAGAGATGCCCTCAAATCTCTGGGCAGGACTTCTGTTCCCAGAATTGGGCCTGTGGGCTCTTGTGCTTCCATAGTCTCAAAGACTATTGCTTTGTCCTGTTCTGGCAACAATTGGATGGTGTACCCTGTATGTCCCCCAACAATGCTGACAGCTGCTTCCTGGGCCTGGGGGCTCCAGGGAGGAGGCAGCTTTCCCCCCTCCTCTAGTGTGTCCTCTTTAGGCCCTGGCTTGACTGTCTCCTCTGCAGCATCTTCCTTGACCACACCTGGGGTACGCCTAGTGTCTTCGCAGGAGTCTGCTTCCTGAAAGTCTTGCGGCTCAGACTTTTCTTCCACTGGGGACTGATGAAAGGGTGTGTGGGTGGCACTGGGTGGACCAGATGGTGGAGGAGAGGCCATCTTCACTGTGCTGTCATCTGGGCTGAGGCAGCGCTCCTCCAATTCTCCGAGCGCTGATTCCCCTGGATATAGGGTGTGACCAGGGGCACCGAACATCGGGGTTCCATATTGACTGTGAAGTTTCTCAGACAGCTGTACACTTGTGGTCTCCTCTTCCTCTTCCACAGTTCTCTCTTCAGGTAAGCCCTTCCCGACACTCTCTCCTCTCTTCTCTGACTCCCCAGTCACAGAGAAATCCTCACAAGGTGGTGATTTGAAGCCCTTGTCTTCTTCCAGTGAGGAGGTGGGTGAGATGGTACCAGCCGATGGCACGTAGTCCAAGCCCTGAGTGGCTTCAGTGCGGGATGATGGGATGCTTGTGACTGTGTCGAGCAGCAGGGAGCTCTTGCCTGTCTCCTCTGTCTGGGGAGCTGTGAGTGAAGCCACAGACTGGTCCTCAGCCACAGATGTGGCAAAGGAAGAAAGCTTGTCGCACTCAGTGATTGAGGTAGCCGAGGACACATGCTCCTCTTCAGCCAAAGGGGCGGCCACCATGTTGGGAGGGTAGGTGAGTTCAGTCTCTGGTGCTCCGTAGCCTTTGCTGGAGGTGGCAGGAACAACACTGTCTACAGGCTGGCTAGCCTCAAAGGGGCCAGGGCCTTCGGGCCCAGGGAGGTCATAGGTACTTGTAGGAAATCTAGGTGGAGCTGGGCGCTCCTCCGGCTCATCATGGATCTCCTCATCTGAGATGGTCTGCTCGGTCTCTGAGTAGCCAGGGATTGTCTCATCCTGGATGTAGGAGACGTGCTCAGTGGCTCCTGCAGGTGTGGCCAGGCTGCTTAGGAAAGATGAGGTCTCCTTCTCAGGGGCCTTGCCCTGGAGTCCCAGTTCCCGGCCCCCGAGAGCCTCCCTGCCCCTTGGAGTTACCTTCAAGGCTTCTTGCATATGTTTTTGGTAAAAACCCTCAGCCTTTGTCTCTTCCTCTTCCTCCTCATCTGAAGGGTGCAACTCCTCCTCCATTTCTTCTAACTCAGCCTTCTCTATCACATCCTCCTTTACCTCAGGTTCACTTTCCTCTCTGGCTTCGGTTCTATCAGGGAGCCTCTCTGCTTCCTTCTGCTTCTTTTCCTCCCAGGTGTCTTTCTCTTCCTCTGTTTCGGCCCCAGAATCTGGGCCTCTATTGGTGCCTTGCTCCTCAGGGATGTCTGGGACGACCTCTTTCTCCTTCATCACAGGCTTTTCTTGTTCCAGCCCTGAGACAGAGGGTAGTGTTCTCTGGGCAGCTGTGCTTGGGACTCCCTCCTCCGTGGTGCCTGGAGAGAGCGGTTTCTCTCCTAGTCCTATGTCCCTTTGTTCATCCAGCAACCTCCTCTCCTCACGCTTCATCTCCTCAAAGTCCTGTGTGAGGTCCTCTGGTGAAGACAGGGCCAGTTCCCTGTGCGCACTGACTGTTGGGAGTGGTACAGCCCCCTTCTGGGCTGGGGGTGTCCGGGGCTCAGAGGACAGATCCTTCTCCCCACGGGCAGCCCGGCTCTTGTCCATCTTTACTCTGCCAGGGGCCTTGGCCTTGTAGAGGGTCTTACGTACCTCAGGGGTAAAGGGCTTCAGATCTGGCTTGGAAATCTTCTTGACCTCAGGTTTGGTATCTTTCCTCTTCTCCTCTTTCTTGGCATCCTTCTTCTCTTCCTTTCTTCCTTCGTCTTTCTTGAGCTCCTTTCTCTCCTTCTTGATCTCTTTTTTCTCTTTGTCTTTCTTCTCCTCCAGCTTTGATATCTTTTCTTTCAAGTGCTTCTTCCCCACCTTATCTTTGATCAACTTTCGCTTCTCTGCCTTCAATGCCTCGCTCGACTCTGTCCTCACCCTCTCAGGCTTGGCAGGCTTCTCTGGGAGCTTCTCAGATGATTCTTTTACCTTCTTCTCTGTCTTGGCTAACTCCTTGGCCAGTTCCGAGCGGGCCTCCTTGGCTCCTTCCTCAGCCACTTCCTCCCGTTTGGCCAGCTTGCTCACAGCTGTCTTAGTAGTGGCCTTGAGGCTCTCCTTGCTGTCGGCCCGCTGTTTGATTTTGCTGGGTTTGAGGTTGGCAGGCACAGCCCCAGCAGTCAGGTCCTTCTGTGTGGCCACTGGGTAGCGCAGGAAGTCCAGGTGCCGAAGCTTTTCCAGGCCTTCCAAGATCTTGTTCTGGGGAGCATTCCCTGGAAAAAGCACACGTACAATCTTCTCAGTGGGGCTGGCTGGCAGCCAGACCACGAGAGCAGTGATAGAGGTCAGGTAGGGCACCGAGATCTCAGCCTCCTTCCCATTAGCCAGCACAATGCCTGTCTTAGCTTTACTATTGCCTGCCCACTTCTGCATGAGGAACTGCATCTCCTTGCTGTCCTTGACAGGATTGAGGACATACATGTCCAGCCGGCCGACACCCATCTTGTGGAAGAGGGTCAGAGGCTCAATGGTGTTGCTGACCACACGGTACAGAGGCTCAGCTTGGATGCCCAGGCGGTTTAGGTGCTGCAGAGTGAGGCAGGCCTCCTCAATGCTGCGCTTGGCCTTCCGGGAGGCATCAGGCAGCCGCAGTTTATCTGGCACATTGAAGAAGACAACTCCAAGCTCCGGAGAGATGAGGTTCTTCACCCAGTCGCTGTAGCTGCTGGAGCCCTGGGACTGCTCCTCCTCCAGTTCTGCCACTTTGCGCTGCAGGAGTCCATTGATGCCTGGCAGGTTGTCTGCCCCGATGTGTGTGAGCAGCACTGAGTCAATGCGGTCCAGATGCCGCACCAGCTTCCAGAAGCAGGACTTGCGATCAGAGCCACCATCCACTAGGATGTTGAAACCATTGACGGCGAAGAGGGCAGAGTCCCCGCGGCCACCAGGGAAGATGTAGCAGCAAGGCTTGGAGAGCTTGAGGAAGCCCCCTGAAGTAGGAGGCTCTAGCAGGTCAAAGGGGGATGGCACATCCACAGTCTCAGAGACATACTCGGAGAACTCAGCCACACCATCCATTGTGGGCAAGGTGGGCTCAGGGTTTAGCCGGAGGTGCAGGGTCTCTTGGGAACTAGATAGTCCCAGATGGCTCCAATCACCCTCCCCTAAGCAGGACACGGTGAGGAAGGCCTGGAGCCCAGGGTCTCTGTTGCTGAGCAATTGGGCAATCTAGAGGAATGGGAGATAGAAGGCTGATCAGGTCATTAAGTTTGTCTTACCCCAACTCATATTCAGTCTACTAATCTTACTTGTCTCTAAGGTGATCTCCCACCTTTCTGTCAGGACCCCCAGTTGTCAAACAATATGAGAGTTTCCCTTCCTTGGATCCCTCCCATATTCTGTTCCTGCAGACATGGAACTTACCTCTGGGTTGTGAAGGACCTGGACAAAGTTTTGATAGGAGTAAGTGCCGCTCTGTAGGATGAGGTCTCCCCCTGGCTCTAAACTTTGCCCACTCAAGATTAGTAGTTTGTGAGCTGATGGGCTGCTAAGGAGATGATGAACCTAGAATAGAAGGAAAGGAGTAGTCACAGATGGAGGAAACCCAGGGAAGAGCACTGAATGTTCGTTTTCCCCGCAATACTGCAAGGCCATGCTCCCCACCAGTAGCACCACAACACCTCCAGAGTGGGAATTGTAAGGCAGCTTAGATGGCAGAACTAGAGGATGGTCCAAAGCCAAGTCCAAGAATTCTTGGCCTTACAGCAGTAGCACTGGCAAGGGTGAGCTACAGCACTTTCAGCAGGCCCTCGTGGCAAGGCCCAGGCCCAGGCCTTACCTCAGAGCTGATGCTGTCGGCGCTGGGGTTTACCAGGATGATGGTCTCTAGGATCTCACTCTGGTGGCAGAGGGTCCTCTGGCCTGAGGGAAAGATGTAGGAATTTGTTCTGAAGAGAGTGGGTATAGACTAAAACAGAGGCATTGTGTGGGGCAGGGGAGGAAAGAATGCACTATCAGAATATGGGGCTTGAGAGAAAGAGAAGCCTAGCCATCCTAAGATCCTGCCACTTTGGATACTGCTGAGTAAGGTCTAGGGACTACCTCATCTAACCCTCCCCTTTCAGGGGCCTCCCTCCCCTCTTCCACACAGTCTGTCTTCTCCCTCCCTTCATCTACCACACCCTCTGCCTGGAACTCCCGCCTCCGGCTGCCCTGTTGACAAGAAACTTTTGTCCCTCTCTGAGCTCTGAGTTCCTGGTGCAGCTTGAGGATGGGGGACTCAGCTGGAGGGAGGGCTCCTGGGACGGTCCTCACCCAGCTCACTCCTTCCTAGCCTGCCTCTGCCTTGCGCTAGCATGCTTTCATGCTAGTGAGTGCCTGGAAACAAGGAGATGGGCCTTTCTGTGCAGTGTCTACAGACTCCCCATCTTCCTTTCCAACCCCCATCCAACCCAGGCCAGAATTCCCACTCCAAAAGACTCAGAGAAGTCTGCACTCTCTAAACCGTTGGGGTTTTACAAATCAAAGAGTTGATATAGGACTATTAATTTCTTGTTCTGTTCTCTGGTTCCTGAGAGGCCAAGCCTGCACTCACAAACATGCACCCACTCATACTGTTCCCACCACTAAAGGTTTCACAGCTCCCTCTCTCACCATCATATCCCTGGACTCCAGAGAGGCCTGGGTTGCTAGCCTACAATCCATATTTTGTGAACAGTTTCTCCTCTCATCTTTGCCTCTCTCCTATGGGCCTTCTGCCATGGAGAGGGGAACAAGGGGTTCACAAACAAGAAACAAAGAAGGAGAGACTGAGTGTTCCCCAGGCCATGGAGAAAGATAAGACACCCTTAAATCCCCCTATTTACTTTCCTTCCCCAGGCTCACATAAAATACCAAGTAACGCAGCAAAGAAAGTGGCAGGTTAGACAGAAGATACTGAAAAGGGATGCTGCCGTTCCCTGCTCCTGCCCTTGCCAATTGCAGCATAGTGGAGTTACCTTACAAACAGAGGGGTGATCAGATGGCCTGGGGAGTGGGCTGTCTAAAGGATATTGGTGGAAGGGCTCAGAATCCCTCCACTAGACCCTCTTCAAGGGCTCTGACAAGAGAAGTGCAGGGCCAGGGCTTTTGTTAAGTGGGAGAGCCTTGGTGCCAGGATCAGGCAGATCTGGCAGCAAGGGGCTGTAGTTGCAGCTGCAGGGGAAGTGAACTATGGATGATGTCAGAAGACCAAACTCCATACAGGGTGGGTGGGGCCCAAGAGGAATTCAAGGTTGTCTTCTATGCACTTGGGAATGGAGGGAAGCTTTGAGGTCAGTTCAGAGGAGGGCAGGGGCAAGGCTTGGGCAGGTGAGGGCTATGGAGGTTCAGGGAACAGCTGGCCCTAGGCTAGCTCTAAGTAGTTTAGATTTAGAAGGGCAATTTACACCCCCACCTCTGCCCCACCACATCCCAGAAGGTCTCACAGTTTAGCTAGGAGGGTGAGAAAGAAATTTCTGCGGTACAGACTGATTTGCTTCCTATCTGTCCCCGTCTCCCGCTTCCGGTCTATCATTCCTTGCAGCCCCCTGGGTATAACCACCAGACTTCTCTGATTCCAGTTCCTATCTTGGTGGAGACCCTCTCCCTCACCCAAGTGCTTTCCAGTTCTGACTGGCAACTACATGGTTTATATTCAGCATCCTTCGTTTTCAGGCCTGGGAGAAAGCACTCTTT